GCTTTTTTTACTTGGTTGATTTATTGTTGACTCCTGTGTTTTCACCCTTATTTCCTGAAGTCCTCCTCCACCTATACGTCAAGATTGTGCATTAATCGTCTCAGTTCTAATTATTCTAAGAGATAAAATGTAGACTTAGTGAGTCTGCTTAAGCTGTCTGTAATTTCATGGCAAAGATAAGATGTCTACATTTATAATTCATATCCATGAGATAATGTTAAATGTCCCACAAAAACAGAATACCTTTTCAGGATCTCAACAGCCTTTTAGAAAATATAAAGGTCTCTACTCCTCTTTTCTGTTTTCTAGACTCTTAGATTAGTGCACCACCGGTAGAGAAAAGCAGGAAGTATATGAACTCTGGAATAGGCAGATCTAAATTTTTTGCCTCTGATTTCTGATTTGGTTACTTGTCTGCATAATGGAAAGATTATGTCTTCTTTTTTAGGGGTGTTAATGAGATTAAAAGAAAAACACTTTGCAAAATAATCATTAAATAATTCATGGTCTTTAAATCACACCCTTCTTCTAGTACACTTCTGTTCTGAAGTTCAGTAAGCCTATAGCATAGAACACCATCCACCAAGGAAAATATATATTTCATTTAAATGTACCCTGAGAATCGCATATCTTATGTTTGCTAAAAATAAAAATTGTATATCCTTCTTTAAAGATATTAAAATGCCACTTGGAATTTTAAAGCATTGACTCTTAGACAAAAAAAAAAAAAAGAACATAGAGTAAGTAGCTGGTGCTTTTCAAATTCACTGCAAAGTCCACTCTATCTCCTAGAATCACTGGAATAAAAGACAGTCAAATTTTCACATAATTTTCATAATGAGAATGGGCCTGCTAGGATGGGAATGTTGTTGTTTACGTAATTTAATATTCTGCGTTCCAATCAACCATTTATAGTTCATGAAAGTTGAAAATTGTAAAATCTGAAGATTACATGTTCAAGGCTTTGACCTTGCTGAAAGGCTATAGATGAGAGTCAATTAGCTGTAACTAACAGCTGTAAATTCATTGCTTCATTTGGTTATTATTTTCGAGCCTCATTACGCACATCTGACAATCAGAAGCACTTAAGCAAGCCTCTTCTGGCTCTTTTATGAGGATAAATATGGGAAAGTGTTCTGTACTCCCAGGTAAAGAGAGAGAGCTTTAGATACAATAGATCCATCCGGGCAGTTTGCTTTTCTTGGAAGAAGATTGACCGTGGGTGTGTGTTTGTGCATGAATGTGATTAACAAAGATCATTTATTAAATAACTGTTATTTTGCAACTACAGTTAGATGAATTGAGTTGTTAGTATCAAAGAATGTACTCTCTCCTCACAGAGGTTTCACATGAAATACTCCATTAAGGACAGAAATATAGTTACATTTTGCCCCTGTGATGAAAGTGCCAGTGATCCCTCTGCTCAGCTTTGTTACTGGCACAGTAAGCTTTTTTACTAAAGAAGCCAAGTCATTAACAGAAATCTTACTACTGAAATTATTTACTGTTTTTCTTTTGTATTTGAAATGCTGTAATATAGGAATTTTAGAGGCAGCATACTTTTATTTGAGTTGAGAAGTTTATTGTGTTTGACATGTTTGAGGAGTTGAAGAAATGTTGAAAATTTAAACTTTGAATTTTTTAGGTGCTTATACTGACAATGGTAAAACAAGGCACACAATGAAAATTTTCGTTCTGGTCAGTTCCCCTTTCCAGAGCAAACCACTATCTCCAGTTTATTTTGTGTAATGGCAGGGAACCTATAATTTGAGAAATCTCAAATCATAAAACATATCAGCAGAGTAAGAGATCAAGGATCAGGCATCTAGGCTAGCAGTGAGTTACTAATGAAGGTTGAGATATACTAAAATTATTGAAAATTAAAAATTATCTTCTTGAAGAATATGCTAGAACCTATCAACTAAGAATTATCTTCATGAAGAATATGCTAGAATCTATCAACTATGCAGATAGTAATTCTATACACAGATTTCTAGACTAAACCTTGTTCTCAGAGCAGCTAAGGTAACACCCCGCCCAAAAAAAAAACACACACACACACACACTAAGACTGACATAAACTTAGTTTCAAATGAAGTTCAGAAAATTTAAAATACTGGCAAATGGAAAGTGAGAAGAGGAGGAAGAAAGGAATAGAAAGGAGGGGGATCAAAGGAGAGAAGAAACAAGTACAGTGCTTGCTCATTAGACAGTGAGTCAGTTATACCTGAGTTTCTCTTTCTGTTCCTATATTTACTTTTCATGTGATTGGGTAAAGCTACAGTACTGTAACTGGTAAAATAGTAACTGAATTAAAGAATGTGATTCATAAGATACAAAGTACCTCTATATGGTCAAAGACATGGTTTCTCTTTTCCATTGACAAATATTAATTTGGTTGATAAGAAGACAGTTACAAACTCTCTGAACAACTGAGATCCTCTGGTTAAAAATAATTCTTATAGCTCATATAATGAGAAGAATTCTATTTGCTTTCAATTTGAAATAAGAAAATGTATGTCTGTACAGCCCATAAAGAAGAGATAGATATATTGGTTCAAATTAGTCCAAGCACTTTTGTTCAGGATCAAAGTTAAAAATATTTTTAAAATGAGCCCTTTATGTTTCATCAGAAAACCATCATATAAGATATGTACCATTTCTGTAATATCTTAACAAGATTGCTTTAAGTATTTTAACTCGGATGTTTTCCCAAAATGTATTGATGAGGACACACTTTGTATTTGGTAGTAATAGTTGTTGAAGACGCAAATATCCTATTAGGGGTATTAGTTATAAACTGTAGATTCATTTAGTGCTGCCTTCTTTTTGAAAATGCTCACTCGATTGGCTCTTACTCATTCCCAGAAGGACAGATATAGAAAGACTATATTTTAATAAAGTGGCACTGGCTACCAGTGTGTCTTATGTAAGCCACATGATTTACATGTGTTTTAGGTTCCTAAGCAGTTTGAAGAAATAAGAGCAAAGGTGATATGTATTGTGCCTCTAATTAGGGATACGTATTGCACTGCTTAAAATTTCACTTTATGGTTCAAGTTTCAGACAAGCATGAGTACTATTTGCGTCCTTGAACTTGAATCTTTTTTGGATAATGCCAGGCACTATTTTTATGACTCATGTTGAGGTGTGCCCGACAATAGGTAAATGCTTCAGTACTAAGCAAATACCATTAAATGTCTCAGTACTAAACAAATACTATTCAATTAAATAAATTGAAAAGAAGTTTATTCAAACAAGATAGAGGGTATTATAGCACAATTTCATAGATTGTGATAAAATCTAAGCTATTTGTCATAGCTTTGAAATGCCTTGTGAATATGTGTGAGAGACTGAACTAATTGGCATTTTGTATAAGGAGTTTGGTAGTAAACTCCCTTGTTCACTATTTGACATACATTTCACTTTGTATTTCTTTATTTTAGTTCCATGAAACAAAAAATAAAATTATACATATCTTCTGCCTTAATATATATATATGTATATGTATACATATACATATATATATATACGTGCACATACATGTAAATATACATATACATATGTATATATATAGACATATACATGCATCTATATATACACCTATATATAGATATGCATATATACATATATAGAATATACATATACATATGTATATACATATAGACATATACATGCATCTATATATACACCTATATATAGATATGCATATATACATATATAGATAGATTAATCGGTATCTAATGGGTTTCTATTTCTAAATTAATAATTACACAATTTACTAATGCTCATAGCGATCTATTTTTAATGATTTGTTCTCCATTTATAAATTCTTCATTTTTTAAGTTATATGCATATTGCTTATTTATGTTTATATCTGCTTTTAATACTGTCAGAATGTGTTAAATTCATTATTACATACTTAGGTCAAAGAGCTGCTCATATATTTAAACTTCACAAAGATTGTTTAACTGTACTGTATTATTTTTTAAAAATAACACATCCATTGAACTGCAGATTTCTTTCACAGATAAATTGAAGGTAATTGGGCCCTAAGGTATTACTTTTGAACAGAAATTTACATTCTTATTTGATGTGATCCTTTCATATCTCAGCTATACAGAGAGTTAGTACTGTGTTTATGTTGACTGGTCATAAGAAGTGGTGCTGAGACACTTTTTGCTTTCTTCTACCTGAGAATTTACCTGTCCCATTCCAGCAATGATTTTGCACCCTCACGGGTGTTTTCTATGATTAGTTTGTAAGTATTTAGCTGTCTGCTTCACTTCATAGAGAAAATTAAAAGGAACAAGGTAAAAAGAAAAAAAAAAACCAAAACAAAAAACCTCCTGTTTCCTCTTTATAGTGACATCTGCTGGGCAGTAGCCCTCAGTGATTTTTAAGCAAGTGCAACCTCACTTACTTTATGGCGGTCAAAGCTCATTTCTTTCTCTGTTCAAATATCCAGTTTATTGTGGCCCGGATAAATCATTTTCACGTAAAATCAAAATGAGTTCCAAGCTTAGATGTAAGTAGAGCTGGCAGTGTACCCAGCCCCTCGTGTCTAGACCTGTAAACCTCTATCTGTTGGCATGATTCTGAACAGCCGTCCTCCACAAAATTGTAAAATAATTTCTTGTAATTATGTTTTAGGAGTTTCCTGGACGGAAGGATACTGGATGTGGATCAAGTTGAGAGGTCAACAGAATCACTGCATTCGAAACATTAAGGAAACGCAATAGGAAACAATAACCATTAAAAGAATAAACTTCTGCCACAAGATTGTTGGCTTATCTTGACCAGTTTTAGGAAATCTGCTCCATGCAAAGGACACGATTCAATTCCCTTTTAAAACCCATCTCTTTGCCTTAAAAGGATGTAGCGATCTTCTCTGACAAAATGCTGCTTTGCATTTTGATATTTACAGCCAAGTAAAGCCAGTGTTGCCTTCCAAGAGCAGCCGGTAACAAACAAAACCTTGGAGCGCGCCCTGGAAGTTGCTCACCCTACCACCGGCTGCGAGAGAAGCGAGTAGTTCAGCTGGTCTTCGGGTCGGCTGCAGCGCGTTCCAGACTCTCCAGGGCAGCGTGCCTGGGGGTCGGCCCCGCCCGCGAGCTCAGGGCTTACAGCCACGCTCAAGCCGGCGCTCTAAGGGTGGGGCCTCGCGGCCGGAGCAGCAGCGGTCGGGTGTGCTAGGCTGGTGATGTGAGCCGGCTGGGCGGCGCGCCGGGCCAGCCGGAGACGCGCGCCGCGTAGCTGTAATCGGACACCCGAGCGTTCGCCCCAGCGCCGACCACTTTCCATTCACTCGGAGGTGCTGGATTGAGCGACGCGGAGAAGGGGCCCGGGCGCCTCGACACTGCACTGCTAAGGATTCCTTTACAAAGAAACTCCCAGGACCGGGAAGAAAGAATTTCACCGCTGGGACGCTCTAGAAATTCTGGTCTTCTGGGAAAAGAACCGGAGACACGCGGATCGAAACCCGTAGCAAATTGATGACTTTTTTGCGCTGATCTCTTCCCACTTTGGTAAGCTGAAGTCATTCTTTTCAGTATTCGCATTATAAATTTAGCAAAATGTAACGTTTGAATCAGTGTGTTGACTTCTCATGCCTCGGTACGCCCAAGATTGGTCATTTTCTTAAGAGCACATGTAGTTTGTCAGGAAAGTGTTTCCTTTGCGGAGAGCTCTGCTTTAGTTGTTTTTGGTTATGACACCTGCGGAGATATTCAAATTGAGTATTTCATTATCTTCTAAGGCAAAATACTCCAGAGGACGAAAGGCTTCTTTTCTTACATGTTACCACTATTCGCTCAGAAATGAAAACAAAAGCATGTCTCTGAGTTTTTAAAGGGAAGAAGTTTTAAAATATGGGGTTGGGGGAAGTATGTGTAAGACACCTGGTTTTAAGTCACTTCTCATTTGTAGGTAGACTTGAAATCATGTTACTTTATATGTTCGCTTCATTTCACCTGTCATTTTGTCTCCCATATTATTCTTCGCAATTTGTGGAAAATATCTTAATAGAGTGGAGACATGTCAAAGATAAGATAGTGGTGACAATATACAAAATTGTGTTAGTATTATCTGTCTGCTTAATTAGGAGACAAAGTTTCAGTAGGTATTTGTATTTTTTTTTGGGGGGGGGAAGTGGGATCTTTATAAGGACAACAAAACCAGAGAGCAAATTACTGAGGGCAAATCACCCCATAAAATCAATTTTCTTTCAAGTTAATTTAGGAATGACAGGGTGAAGAGGTTCTGGAAGCAGGAAGAAACTATTTCTTTTGAAAATTAGCAAGACAAACATCTCTAGGGTTTCTTCTGTGTGGTAAAAGAACACAATTTTGGTTTTATTTTCATTAACCATTTATCATCTAAGAATTCAACTTGAAGTTTTTATTTAAAATGTTATATTTGGTTGAAATGTTCTTTTTACTTAATTAATGAGGTGCAGTCTTTTCCATTTTTAGTGTTTTTTTAAGATCAGATAAACATTAGCAATACTATTTTAATTGTTGAAAGTTTGTTGTATCCTCTAAAAAGAAAAAAATAAATTAAACTGTCATATCATTTTATTGTATGATTATACTAGTCTCAAATTGATGAGATTTTTTAAATGGTCCTAGAGTTACTTTGCATATTGTTGCCACCAGAGCACCCCTAGGTTTGTCTTTATATATTACCTGATCTTCTTTGCTGTTCAGTCCTTAGCTAATAAGCATGTATCAGTTTTACAGCTACATTCTGAAGCAGTAATACCTATCTCTCTGATTTATCTTTTGAAATATTGAAAGCCTGCTTTCAGGTTGATTTATGTAAAATATGCATTGACAGATACATGGTTCATTAGATTGCTCATGTCTACTAGGTCATTGGTTTGAATTTGGCAACAGTCCATGGTTACCTCATCTGCATCATTTAACAGCTGCATGGTCATCTGTATAAATTGGCAGATAACTGATTTGAGTGATTTCAGTGATCTGGGATTGAACACATGGAAGTTGTATGCATAGAAACACCATTCTAGAGACAATTACTTTAAAACATCTAAGGGTATGTAGGTAAATGGGTATACATGACTGTTCCTATGACTGTAGTACTATAGAAAGAGATTTTCATTCACTAATATCTATTGTTACCATTTTCAAGTCATTTCAGTGTAATGTGATTTTCTTTAGAAAGATCAAGTAAGTGTTGTGTTTTCCTTTGGGAATCAGTAACTTTTTCCTCATTGCATTCATTGTTCATTGTTAATATAAGCATTATTTGTTGAAAGATGAAACAGTTTCTCTCTCTCTCTCTCTGCTAAGACACAAATGAATCAAATCCAAATTTTCACATATGAAAAAGTCACAGCTCCTCCTACAGTTTTTTTTTTTAAAGATTTATTTATTTATGCATACAGAACTGAGGGGTACAGGCCAGAGGTGCAGGGGTGGCGAGAGGCTTCCCCAGAGACAGAGTGGGGAGCAGAACAGGCAGAGTGACTGAAGTACACTGCTGAGGGGAGCAGCGGGCGGGTCAGGAGAGGTCTGCCACGCCATGTGGGCTCCTCCGGGGCAGGCGGGAATCGATCTCATGCGGAAGTGGCTTTAGCTTCTCAGTGCTGTGCTTTAACCCGCTGCGCCACCAGGGAGGGCCCCCTCCTACAGTTTTTTATGACTGTAAATGTTCAGTCAGGTCTTGTGAATTAAAGTACTGGTACTCTGTTTACATTGCTGATTTTTATGAATTTATATTTTGTCCTTTTAAAAATGTGAAATGCAATATAACACATTCATTATTTCTATTTTAAAGGAATTTCCCCTTGGATAATAAATTATAAAGCAGAAGAAATGGCATTCCCAGCAATTTGCCTGTGGGTTGGAATATTTGTCTGTTCTGTCTGTGTAAAAGGATCTTCTCAGCCCCAAGCAAGAGTTTATTTAACATTCGATGGTAAGAAAATTGATCAACATTCTAGATAAATGTTATTTGAAGTTTTTATTTCTTTCTTATGTAGACTCAACAATTAATAAATCAAAGATAGTGAAATGTTATCTTAAATATTTACTAGATTGCTTTATGTATGACCTGGCTCTTTTAAATTGTTGGTTAATTGACAAATGCCTCTATTGCACTAGTTTATGAAAATGTTTCATATGTATCCTGCCTTTTTTAACTCTTCTGTTTGCATGTTTATGTGTGGGAAGCTTAAGAAGACCTCAAAATATAAGATTTTTTAATCTTAATATTAATCTGGTCATGTTTAGAAATAATCCCTATGTGCTTGTCCTCATCAGCTGAAAGATCTATACAGGTTAAATTGCTAAAAAATATTTCCTATGTAATTTTGGGTCTTAACCTAAAGACTGTTCCTTTCATACATTTCTTCTATAGTTACAAGAAGTTGCTGAGGGACACAAAGTCTCTTTATTAATTAATAAGGACCTTAAAAAATAGTTGGAAGTATGTTTTTGATGGTGATTGTTTATACTTATTCAGAAACATAGGAAAATGAGTAATATTTCAAATTTCCACAAATATGAAATGACTAAGATTCTCTTAGGGAATGGTTTCCCAATATCTTCATGAACTTCAAACAACTTTACTGATAGATGATGTAGGTCAATCAGGTAACCCATACTAATTGAAAAGATGGAATAAGGAATTGATCAGAAAGATCATCTTTCTAATCGAGGTCATTCATATTTTTATTATATTTTCAATACTCTCTCTGCATTAATCTCAGTGTCTCATAGAGCATATTTTCATTTTCTTCTGAGAAGCAGTAGACTCTTAGATCTCCTGATAGTTCTCTTTTCTTTGAATCACTGTGATTTTGCATTTCAAAATGTGATATGACTGAGGTATATCAGCCAAGTGACTCTTAACTCACCAAGTACTTTTCTCAAGGTCATCATAAGTCCTGAAGGAGCCTTATTTAGGACATAAGTGTAAGTGAGCTTCTAATTGCTTCCTTAGCTCTTAAGCCAGGTGTTTGTCTTAAAACCTTAACTGTCATATTAAATTATAAAGAAAAACATTGAAATATTCTTTTAATCTTGCATTTTGATTATACTTACTTTTCAAGTTGAGAATTATAAAATCAAATTTTCAAGAAAGAGATGAAGAGCAATATTATTTCCCTCTAATGTTCTAATATTTCCTCTCAGTATAAAGGAAGATGGAGTTGTCTTACAGGTTGGGCAGCTAAATCTGCTCATTCTCTTCCATGAAAACTTACCTTCTTTTTTCCCCCAAATATAGTCTAAAGAATGTAAATATTAAAAACAAGTGTGTCAACAGAGATATTCCATAAACCTATATTTGAAAGGTAATACAGCCTTTTAAAACCAATCTTCAATAGTATGTAGAATAGTAATTACTACATAGTGACTAGAAATTACAGTGAACTTTTAAAATGCTATATGACTAATATTTTAAGTGCTCTTAAACTTACAATACATTCTTGAGGATAAAATTGACTTTAATTTATGACATGTATAATACAATATGTATAATGTGTGTAGTACAATATGATAAAAATAAGCTATTGGTCTAAAAGATTTGCAGTTCCTGATAGTTTAAACTTTCTGAGTTTTAGTAGGAATCAAAGAGATACAATATCACTAAATTTGACACTCTTTAAATATATATATAGCTACAGAGAGAGTAAACATACTGAAATACCACAATTTTAAATCACATGCAAAAATATCCTAAAATGAACCATATAGAGAGAAGATGTTGTGGGATCGATACATTAGACAGTAGCTTTTGTTAAAATCTGTAAATTGTTATCTTTAGTTCATAGTCATTTTTAAAAAGATTTCCTAGTATGTGTACTTAAGATGCTTGTTCCAGTTTCTTGTCATTTAAAGTTTCTCACTGTTTTTATGATAACTTATCTGGTATCACATCCGGATAGTTTGCTAAATCCCTTAAAGTAAGTTAGCCTTAGAATCAAATATAGAACTTTTTACAAAGTTGACATATATGAATATATATTTATTTAAATACATATGTATATATAATGTATATATACTTTCTTGCATTAAAAAAAATTCTTTGACTATTTCCCAATCAAAAATCAAAGTTGGAAGATATTTTGAGGAAATTCAAATAATTTCAAGTTACTTCAGGCAGTTTTTGTATCATTATATTCCTTTGTAATTACTTTTCCCCTGACATTTTTTATTCAAAATCTTCTCTTATACTGTAAATTAGTCTTATGTCTATCTTTTCCGCTGTGGAACTTTAGAAAACTCCTCTCAGTTTTGTTATTCACAATCCAGGTAAGAATTACAATCAATTTAAAGATATATGGAAAAGAAGTCTCTTCTCCCATATAAGTTTCATTCCTCCTTCTTGTGATAGATTAATGAACTGATAACATTTGGAAAACAGTGATTTAAGGATTTGCTTTTCCTATTGATCTAGTGCAAGGTCAGCTAGATTGTCATCAGTCCTATGGGAAAATGCACTTAAGATGTTATTAATTAGTTTTTATATTTGTGCTAGCTACTTTGCATGTTAAAAGAACTGCAATTTCTATTAGATTCTATACTTTCATAAGTTTTGTAACTTTCACTTAATGCCAAATGCTTTTCAAAGAATATTAAGATCATGAAAGTACTTTTGATATAAGCTGAGCTTTTGTTGAAATAAAATCCATTAGCCTGATTCACATCTCATAGCATTATTGGCATTGTATTTTTTTTTTCCCCTCAAAACTATGAGGGTCGTAAGGAAAGGACAAGACTGCATATTTACAATAAGTAAAACTTGCTTGTGTTTTTTTTTTTTATACTAGAGAAAGCACTGTTAAAAAGGCTCTCCTCTACTCAGTAGAGAGGTTAGCTTGTTGTATGCTACATGACCAGGAATAATCTGATAAAGGGGATGTAATTTTAACAAAAGGTATCTGAGTTTAAGAAAATTGATATTGTCTATTGGAATAAGAAAAAATGATTAATGAGTTTAATCTATTGAATATTTCTAATTTAAAATGAGGTAGATTACTATAAAAATAAGATTTTTTTCTCAGTAATTTATATTATGAATCTGCAATATTCAATTTAGTGACATAAAGTCATTCATAATATTACCTTAGCCTATGTCTGTAGGATCTGTAGTAATGTTTCATTTCTGATGTCAGTAATTTGCATTTATTTGCTTTTATGCTTTGATTAATCTATTTAGACGCCCATTTTCTCCATTTCATTGAATTCTTCAAATCAGCTCTTGGTGGCATTGTTTTTTTCTATTATTTTTCTGTTAAACATTTCCTTGATTCATGCTTTAAAACCCAGTTGTTGATGCTTTGTGTATAGTATCCTCTTCTTTGTGAAACTTCTTAGGGAATTCTGTCACTGATATGAAAACGTTGTTCAAATGTAACTAGTTATGTCACAAATTTCCCTGGAAACATTGCACTAACAGTGCCCTAGATCTGTCAATAAAGTGTATTTTGATTTTCAGTCAGTTAAAAAAAAAATTCTTATAACTGCCACAGCTACTTTTTGTCTGTTATTCATGACTTATTTAGAAATATATTGCAATATTTAAAAACATTTAGGTATATTTTATATAAGTTCCTGTTATAGATTGCTGGTTTAGTTTCTTATTATCAAATAATATACATCATAGGTTGTAGTTCTTTGAAAATTTTGTTCTGCTTTTTTTTTTAAAGCAATGTGTTCTAGTAATACCAATTAAAGTCAATCAGTTGATAGTGCTTTTATATTTTATATCTTTACTGATTTTCTGTCTACTTATTCTTTCAATTACTGACAGAAGAAATTGAACATTCCAATTATACTTATGGATTTGTCTATTCTTACTTCCATCAATTTTCACTTAATGTTTTTGAATTTCTGCTGTTAGGTACTCCTCAGCTTAGGAATGTTAGGTCTCCTGATGAACTGTTTTTTTTCCTGTTATGAAATATGCTTGATTTATCATTGTCATAATTCTCATTCTGAAATGTATTTTGTCTTTATATATAACTTTATCTTTCTTGTATTGTTTTAAAAAAGCACACAAAATTTTAGTTATAATTAACTGGGAAAATCATTGCCAAGATTCTAATTGTGTCTAGGAAATCAGGTTTTTTAGTGTTGTTTCCTTACTAATTAACTCTAAACTTTGACAGGACCTTAGACTGTTAACCTCTGAAACTCTTCTTTATGGGTACTTTATGACTTTTAAGCTTAGTTTA